CCCCAAAACCCCAAAACCCCAAAACCCCTATTTAAATGAGTATTTTTACTAGTTAAGGATTATAATTATTTTATATTTTATTGAATAAATTGTGCGCAATAAAATTGAAATAAGGGAATCAGTCATAATACATGACTTAATTCAACAGTAAATTCAATGCTTCTTGGTAAGATCTACTTCGTTAATTAAAAAGTTGAAGATCTCCTCATCTTTAAGAATCTTAAATCTCTTTTTCTGATAGAGACCATCTCCTTCTTTGATTTTATCCATTTCTTAAAGCATCTAATCGAATCCTAAAGTGGTGCTTGTTTGATTCCAATTAAGAGAGTTCTAAGAATCTGATCTCTTGTGTGTATTCTAGGTGGAAATCTTGTTCATCTCATCTCTCATCACATTATTCATTTTATGATCAACGAGTCTTTTAAGTCTATTACAATGAATCAAACCTTCTTTATCATTTGTCTTATTAAAAAGTTTAAAGCCTTTGTAGATGAATCTAAAACTTTTCTTAAGATTTTCTGTGTCATTTTGCCTGATCTTTAGATTTGCATAGAAATATCCCAAAAATAAACTAGTAACAGCTTCGCCTTAAATACATTTTTCCTGCTAGAATACTTTCCTAATATTTTCTAATTCTGGAGCGATCAATCCTACTCGATTAAGTTTGAAATATTAATAAACCAGAAGGAGATCAATGTTTGATCTGAAAATTGGATCCATATCTTAGACTCTAAATTTGACTGTAAGGTGATATAAATCAGACTTCTCATCACTTTTTAAAGCTTGAATTGATAAGTAATGATAGAGAAGAATGTATCCCTCAGACAAATTTTCTTCCTAATCATCTGAATTTGAAAGGTATTCTTAATCATTTTCTTCTGTCTCTAAAGTTTAATTATTCTGATTATCTTAATTATTTTAATTGGCCAATTAAAATTAGTTTAATTTCTAATTTGATTCATATTGTGATTTAAAAGCGTTTAAGTTCAATTGTGGATTATGTACAGTTTTCCTTTATTCATGAGATACTAGATGCATTTAAAAATCATCATCATCATTTTAGTCAAATTGCTTCTTTGAATTAAGCATTGTTGATTAGCGTTTTTTAGCATTTTAGGTTTAAATTTGAAGGGAGTTTGAAGGCTATCTATTGACATTTTTTGCTTTACTATTGACTTATAGACTGTCACCTAATTTATCCTAATCTAATATTTAAATGTCTTTATCAGGATTATTTTTTTTACTGGTGCCATTCCATTTACTAAATCTTCTGGTCCAACCTCTGTTTGGATTATTTTATCTGAAATTTTAAACTACTTTGCTTGGCTTTTAAATAATGAATCTATCGAACATCTTGAACTTTTTCAGTGTTTAATCATATTTCTGCAGGTCTGAAGCTGTTACATCGTCACTCATTTTTTTAATCTTCTTCTAAAGTTAAGTTGCAATCATTCCCACAAGCATATCAAACTGCCTTCCCTATCGATCCCCGTTGTCTAATTACTTGCTAGTAATGGAGTCATCAGATTCGAGTTTAAAATTATCCTTGCTATTATTTAATTGTGGATTACCTATCACATTCCTAACTATTGAATCTGCATCTCTTGAATTATTTAAATCCTTCCTAGAAAATTTAAAATCTTCTGTTCTCCCAGATAAAGGTGAATTTATACTGTCATTCGATTAATCTAGCTCTTGTTGCTTTTCAACCTTCTCAAGAATATTATTTTTCAATTATTCTGTAAACTTTGAGACTAACACATTAGGCTGGTTCAGAGTTCTGGTAGATATTTAAGAATTTGGATTTTTATTAATGGTGATATCATCAAATTATAATTCTCTTTTTTCCTTATTTTCCTCTTTAATTCTATCAAGCTATACATCTACATCATATTTGTTTTCTAATTCATCGTTTTAAAAATTACTCTCATACTTGTTGATGCCGCCAATGGTTTGCATTTTCTAAACAGTTTTGTCTGCAACCAATGAAACAAGCTCAAGTTTATTTTGACTCATTTATTTATTCTTTGCAAAGCCCTTTCTCTTCTTTCCTCCATCTAATTTTTTAGTGATTTGTCTTGCTAATTGAGTAGTTAATTGTCTTATTATAATATTCTAATCAACAAGTTATTAGTTTGAGTACGATGGAGAATTAGGTTCCTACTTTTTCTGCTGAAATTTGAGATCGATCAGGAAGTTTAGACAGCTTACTATATTTTTGTCATAACTTTCACATCTTTCAATTAACTCAGTAATTTCAATTTCATTTTCTTAAGCATGCTTTTTAGCTTAAATCAAAATATCTGTGTATCTGGCTGCCAGCATTCTATAATAACTTCCCTTAGCTTCCACATTATCTTTAATTCTACTTTCTATGAAATGATGAATGGTATTCTGTACTTTATAAGTATTAGTTTCCTCATCCTTCATAATTAAAGATGTTTCTACCATACTTTTGATGAGATCTTACATTTTCTCTAGCTGATCATCTTTTTATTTGAATAGCTCAAATAGATCATCTTCAGCAAGACCTTAAGGACTTAATCCAATTAAGATGAGCATGTCAAAAGCGAATTCTGATTTATTCATAAGCATTTCAAACACAGACTCAATACTAATTACTAATGCATCATCTTTATTTGTAAAGTCATTATGAGAAATTAGCCTCTTGTAAATTTCAACTATTGAACTAGAATGAAGCTATGAAGCAGCTAAGCAAATTGAAAAAGGTTCATTTAAAATCATAAAAAGAGGATGTTTTTCATAGTAAGCCTTCACACATTTTTCTACAATACCACCGTGGCCTTTGATCTTGCAGGGTTTGCAAATTTTGTATGTATTAAAAGCAATTAATGCTTTTGTATTTAGAGCTAATCTCTTATTGAGTAAATCTATATTTTCATCTTCGTTCGATATTTAATGCAATTTTTCTAAAGTTGACAGTGAAAAGAATTAATCTCTAGCTTCGTTTGATGGAATTTTCATTATAAATAGATCTCTAGCTTTTTATATAGAAAGGGATTTTAGATTTTTAACTACAAAAAGATCTAAGTTTCCCATAAATTTAGAAGAGCTAAACAAAAGTTATAGATTTTGATGTTCATTGATGAACATTTTGAAAGTGTTTCTCAATTTTATTTCCTCTCCCAGAACCAATTCATCTATATTGTCAAAAACGAACAACATTTTCTCTGCAGACCTAGTGTAGGAAAACAATTTTGTCATAATTTCTTTAGATTTCATGCCTTTCAAACTTTACATTCTTTTGAAAGTCTAGTCATGATGATATTCGACTTTTTAAATGAACAAAGATAATAATTCCCTGACTTTTGATATGCCTTGGCAATTAAGATATACTATACCTCCTGGGTATAAATTTCTATCGGCAATGTAATTGACCACTTTTGAAATCAAAGCTGACTTTCCAACACCTGGCATTCCAAAAACTTCAACAATTCTTGCACTTTCAAAGATTAGTTTCTCGATGGTCTGATAAGTATCAAGATCTCTAGATAGCCATGGGGTTACAAGAGATGGTAAGATTAATAGCTATGGTTGTTTGATAGCTGATACTAGTGTTCCTTATTGAAATTCTAAATTCAAACCTCCATTTTACTATTGACATAGAGAACAAAATTCTCCATTCTATAGTAGCTTTTTCATATCTATATTATCTGTTGTAAGCAATCTTAAGATTGATGCTTCTTCAAGGCCAATATCTTAAACTACAGTTTCATAGGCAGTTTTAAAAGCTTCACATATGGAATAGGTTTAATCTGGATGAAAAACTTAAGAATAAAATATCGATGAGAATACTACTGCTGCGTTATCATTTAACTACTTCTCTTTTTAAACACATATTACATGTTTAGCACCTGCTTTTTTGAATATCTCACCGCACTTTTATGAATGGCAGGATGCTACAACTACAAACTAAAGCTCTTTTTTCATGTGAAGAACCAACAATTTTGAAAGTTACTTTTCAAATAAAAAAAACGAACTCCCACTTTTTTAGTTTTCAAAAACTAGAATATCACCTTAGTTTTCTATCTCTTTTAGATATTTTATAGAGGCTAGGTTTTTCAAAACTTACTTATCATTTTAAAGCCCATGACCGGAGAAGTGAATGCCAATAGGCTCCTATCTTAAACAATCTCTTAGGTTTTAAATTGTTGCGAGCTGATACCTGTACTTGATTAGAGTTTGATCTGTTTGCAAAGCTTATTAAATCCCCATGAATTCATCTTTGAAGCTTATTTCATCCAATATATCCTCATAAACTTAGTCTATCTTAATGACTAGAGGTGAGGCAAAAAGATATGCAAAATGCAACTTAACTTAGTTGGTTTTTAAACTATTTGTGTTTCGCCCAGTGTCCTTCTTCTAATAATTATTTCTGTTTCCTAGATTTATAGTAAGCTTTGGCTTTAAGCCCATGTTGCTAAATTATCTTGTAGCAGGAGTCTTATTAACAGGCATGGAGGATTTATACTAAGTAAGCGACAAATTGTGAGAAGTGGAATTTTTTATTTCTGGATCATTACTTTTCTTGAATTCCTCTACTTAGATATCATTAAATCTTACATGGTTTTGCTTCCTTTCTCTTTCTTAATCTATCACCAAATTCCCAATCTCCAACTAAGGTTTTGACTACACTCTTTAATCTAGCTTGACTTCTTTTTTGACTTCTTCATCTTAAATTTAAGGCTGTTGAAAAATGTCCTATTCTAGTAGTAAATCGAGTTGAAAGGACTATCCATTAATGGTTATTACTCCTTGCTTCTGATCTCTTAGGAGCTCTTAGAGCTGCTAGACCTTCTATATTTTACTTAAAGGCTTTTCAGGGCTGATTATTCTGTGCTGATAAGATTATTCTGTATCATTTTGAGGTTTATCCCTCATATAGCTACATACCATTCCCATTACTTAGTGTAGTGCTTTCTTATTTTACTAGTAAGAATAAAATATATATTTTAATATTAGAAAAGTTCGAATTTCTCAAAAATAATCGAAGATTTATTTATTTAGTGATTAATTTATGTGATGTAGTTCGAATTTTTGATTGATGGGGTTTTGGGGTTTTGGGGAAGTCGGAAGAGCGTCGTGTAGGG